AATGTTTTTTCCACTCCCAAATAAAGTTTTCTGCCATATTCAGAACTAGCTAAAGGAGATTTTGCACAACTGGTTGTATATGCAGGTTTAACGTGAGCTAAGATGTCAATATTTACACAGCTCCACCTCATTAAATCCACCTTCCTAGTGACTTGGATGGCGTTTAAGATTTATTTTTTAAGGGTCTCCAAATTGTGCCAGTGTCAGCAATCCAGCACCTGTTAGTCATCATGGGCCCAGTTCACCTCTCTGAGCTATTGCTCGCCGTTCTGACAGGCAAGGTTTCTGACAGGCAAGCAGAAGGTGACAAGGATGGATGTTTTGAGAGTGGAATGCAGCGGGGCACTCACCTCTGCCAGATTGCGTGTGTGAGGCTCTGAGGATGTGAGGTCACGCTGCCAACAGTCATGATGGACATGTGGGCCGCAGTGCCCTTAATTGGGTCCACATGCTCTGGCATTGCTGTGCCCTGATTAGCACTGTGTGGGCTGATCAGCACTAGGCTGGAGCACAGCACTTTCAGGGGAAGAACATATGGGAAGTGCAGATGTTCAAAGGGTGGCTGCACCCCATGTACAGCCAGCAACCCTCCTTCAAGAATTATCATATCCTATCTTGCGCAAGAATATGCAGGAAGTTTCCAAATAAAAGTGTCATTTGAGGAAGAATCTGATCATTTTCTTTTCAGGGACTCCCTACTTGGTGTTCCTATTAGACACCCTGACCTTAAAAGATGTTGTCATTGAAACACACAAACACAGTCTTTCTATGATGAAAAGAAAATATTTCAATACTACTGTATACCAGAGATAATAATCAAAGGTTCCCCCACAGCAAGTACGAGTTGAAGCAGTCCACATGTTACCAGGTCATAGAATTTATCAATATATATTATTACATTATTCATTACTTATTCATGTATTAATTAAATAAGCTTATGAAGCATTTACAATAGACCAAAAATATTACAGGGATAATAGACATAGGGACACAGTAAAATGAAGACTAAAAGAAGAAATTCATTTACTTACAAAGGACACAATGTGGCATAGTGAAATGTAAATTAGATGACAGCTAAGTAATTAGTCCCAATTCTTCCAATAATTAGCTGTGCTCCCTGGGCCTCAGTTGTCTCGCTCAGAGCTAATCACATTCAACTAAATGATTACAAATGTCCTTTCCAGCCCTAAAATGTTATGAATTTATATCCTTTATCTTTTTTATCATGTACTCAATGTATTCATCTACTTACGATTTTCATGAATCTCATCACCTAATCTGTGCCAAGAACAGTTCTAGGTGGTGAAGCTACTCTGGTCGTAAGACACTTGAGCTTAGATTCTGGTGCAGCAAGCTAAATTTTCACATCAAGGAGTCATCAAGACAGTGAATAAAAGTAAATCAAGGAAACTGAATAGAGAGAAATTGTTAATTAATTTCATGAGGGTGGTCACATAGTTGGATCTATCACATTTCAGTAGGATGGTACCAGCCATACACATGTACACTAATAAATTAACAAGATAATTTATTATAATGATAATGTCCCAATATGTGTTTTTTTAAAAAAGGGTGGGGCTTTGTTGGATATGTTGGTCATGAGTTATGTCAGGTCCTATATTGGATATGTTGGTCATGTTGGTCATGAGTTATGTCAGGTCATGTTAGATACGAGTTACCTTCAAGTATGCTCCATGTATCTTTTCTATACTGTGGACTATGTTAAAAGAGAAAGTCCAATTTGGAACATGCCACTCATGGGGTGAAAAAATGGAAAGTTAAGCTGAATCACATTCTTACAATTAAAGTTTCTGCTCTGATGGGATGTGTGTCATCACGTTTCATTGGTCAAACCAAGCCGAATATAATACTCTTCCCTTCAGAAGGAGGACACAAAGTGTTTATTTGTCTGCAATAATAAATTCTATAACAAATCTTAAAAATCTTAATTTTCCATGCACCTTAAGCTAATTTTACTAACATATCAACAGATTTGTCAAACACCTTTTGACCGTGCTTAATAGACAAATTTATCAGATTATCTGTTAATCTCTTTGGCTTTCGCCTGGAGCTCTTCTTCCCAGATGTTTTCATTTGACTATGTCAACACAAATAGCTGTTGACAACTAGGACATCCTGTCAACATTTTTTGTGTTCGCTTATGATCCTTGGATCCCATGTGTTCTGTTAAGAAAATCTGTGTCAAAAGTTTATCATACAAGTTATAGGATATGTTACATTTTATTTTTACTACTGCAGTTGGAAAACATTTGAACTATCCTTAGTATATCCAAATGTATATTATACACATAGATACGATATTATATTTAGAAGTGGAAAAGGAAATTAGAGATAATTAAAACCAGGTGTTTTTAAAAGAAATTTATTAACTTGAATCTTCTTTTTTACATATAGCTTATGTAAAATGTCTCTCTGGGTCGCATTTTTTATGTTTTCTGTATCTAATTATTCTACCAAAATATTAGTTTCTTGCTATGCTGGAAGTATTATCAGCTAGATTAAAATGTCTAAAGTTGTTATGATACATTTCCTGTTTGACAGCATAATAAAATATTTTTCTATGAAAAAATATCTATAATTATACTCTTTCAGTATAGATATTCTTGATTAAAATTTACAAAATAAATATTTTTATTGCCTTCCTTAATTGATTATAATTACGCTAAGTTAACAATAATATTAACTGTCAGTTTCTTAAATAGCTTGCATAAGTAATCAGCAAAGTCCATACACTACATCTTACCTTCTAAAGAGCACATAAACTCAAGTTGACACTTGCTAAAAGAGCTGACATGTCATTAAAATAAGTTTACTTTTTAGTTAACAAACTTTCTAAGAATGATAATTACCAGATTATTTACACCAATTATTACGTAATGGTTTCTTTTAGATCCTCCACAAAAGGGAAGCAATTAAAAATTGCTTTAGAACTCAGCAGTTGGCAAGGCACAGTGGCTCACGCCTTTAATCCCAGCACTTTGGGAGGCCAAGGCAGGCGGATCATGAGGTCAGGAGATCGAGACCATCCTGGCTAACACGGTGAAATCCTGTCTCTACTAAAAATACAAAAAATTAGCCAGGCGTGCTGGCGGGTGCCAGTAGTCCCAGCTACCTGGGAGGCTGAGGCAGGAGAATGGTGTGAACCCAGGAGGCGGAGCTTGCAGTGAGCTGAGATGGCACCACTGCACTCCAGTCTGGGCAACAGAGCAAAATTCCGCCACAAAAAAAAAAGGAACTCAGCAGTAGATTACATTTACAAAATAATCACCAAGTAGTTTAATATTGCAAAGTTATAAGAATGCAAGAAATCATGCCAACTGAAAACTACATAGTTAGGTTTCAAATATTTGAAATACTGTCTTCCTAAATTAATGGCACTTTAACTTATATATTTGTTTCTTTGCTTATATTGAATTTCTGAACATAATCACTAACAAATGTATGGGATTAGGAAAATATTACCCGGTAAACCAGTTACCATTTTTGGAATAGTTAGAATTGTCCTCTCCCTCATACAGCCCAAGAACTCCCGGTTAATGCCTTCAGTTCTTTCCAAGGTCTTTTCATTCTTTGTCTCAGTAACTTTTTCTTTCTTATCACTGACCAGTTTAAAGTAGGGGAATAGAACAATGGGTGTGGAGAGAGGCAAAGTGTTCTGGCTCTGAGAGTCCCTGAACAAGAGTTCTTACAGGAAATGACAAGCATTCAAGCCCTGACATCTCAATACTAGGGCCATTCTCAGGGCTTTGTTTGCAGCAAGCAACCTTAAGGGAAGAGAAAATGTCTCCCTTTGGGAAAAAAAGCAAGCTTGTATTCCGGACTTTGGGACCTGTATATAGTCAACATTCTGTGTTCTTACATTCTTCTAAAGAGGGTTGTTTTGTTTTTGTTGCTGTTTTAGCAGGCATTTATTAATAATATGCCTAAATTCAAACAGAAAACTCTGTCTCCTGGGCAAAGGCTGGAGCTCAAATTTCAGTTTTTAGTCTTAGTTGGAACGCTTCAATACTCCACCATACTAGAAGGTGCAGGGATCAGCCAGAAATTTGGGTAGAGTTTATACACAGCATATGGGTTTCCTCCCTTGCCTTCTGGATCTTCCCTTCCTGGAATTTCTTCCATACATTTCTACTACCTATGATTGACCCAATCTTTGTTCCCTAGTTCTTCAAGTCACCAAAAATGAGAAATGTTATCAAATGTTAGCCAACGACTATAACCTGAATGTATCCCCCTAAACTCATGTGTTGAAATTAAATAGTGTGATAGTACTAAGACTGGGGGAGCCTTCCAGAGGTGATTAAGTCATGAAGGTGGAACTCTTATGTCCAGAATTGGTTCCTTCTGGTAGGTTCTTGGTCTCACTGACTTCAAGAATCAAGCTGCCGACCCTCGCGGTGAGTGTTACAGTTCTTAAAGATGGTGTGTCCAGAGTTTATTCCTTCAGATGTTCAGATGTGTACAGAGTTTCTTCCTTCTGGTGGGTTCATGGTCTTTCTGACTTCAGGAGTGAAGCCGCAGACCTTCACAGTGAGTGTTACAGCTCTTAAAGGTGGCGCCTCCGGAGTTGTTCGTTCCTCCCTGTGGGTTTGTGGTCTCACTGGCCTCAGGAGTGAAGCTTCAGACCTTCACGGTGAATATTACAGCTCATAAAGGCAGTGCGCACCCAGAGAGTGAGCCAGAAAGACTTCATTGTGAAGAGTGAAAGAACAAAGCTACCACAGCGCACAAAGGGACCCCAGCAGGTTGCCAGGGCTGTCTCAGATGGTCAGCTTTTATGCCCTTATTTGGCCCCATCCACGTCCTGCTGATTGGTCCATTTTACAGAGCGCTGATTGGTCCATTTTACAGAGTGCTGACTGGTCCATTTTTACAGACTGCTGATTGGTGTGTTTACAAACCTTTAGCTAGACACAGAGCACTGATTGGTGCATTTTTTTAGAGTACTGATTGGTGCATTTACAAACCGTTAGCTAGACACAGAGTGCTGATTGGTGCATTTTTACAGAGTGCTGACTGGTGCGTTTACAAACCTTTAGTTAGACACAGATTGTTGATTGGTGAGTTTTTACACAGTGCTGACTGGTGCGTTTACAAACCTTTAGTTAGACACAGATTGTTGATTGGTGAGTTTTTACACAGTGCTGACTGGTGCATTTACAAACCTTTAGCTAGACACAGAGCACTGATTAGTGTGTTTTTACAGAGTGCTGATTGGTGTGTTTACAAACCTTTAGCTAGACACAGAGCGCGGATTGGTGCGTTTACAATCCTTTAGCTAGAAGAAAAGTTCTCGAAGGCCCCACCCAACCCTGAAGCCCAGCCAGCTTCACCTCTCACTCTCATGGATAGGATCAGAGCCCTTATAAAAGAGCTTAAGACAAACTAACACAGGAACAGAAAACAGAAATCTATTAACAGAAATCGCATGTTCTCACTCATAAGTGGAAGTACAACAATGAGAACACATGGACACAGGGAGGGGAACATCACATACCAGGGCCTGTCAGGGGGTGTGGGGCTAAGGAAGGGATAGCATTAGGAGAAATACCTAATATAGATGAGGAGTTGATGGGTCTCACAAACCACCATGGCACGTGTATACCTGTGTAACAAACCTGCACGGTCTACATGTGTATCCCAGAATGTACAGTATAAAAAAAGATAAAATAAATAAAACAGAAAAAAATTAAAAATAAATAAATAAAAGGGCTTGAGAGACTGGATTCATTCTGTCCTGCTCTTCTGTTACTCGAAAACTCAGTGCTCTTTCTTTTTTTGCCCTTTTACATCTTGCCATGTGAGGATACCATTTCACCCCTTCTGCCATGTAAGGACAGAGCAAGAAGACCCTCCTAAGACACCAAATGCCAGTGCCTTGCTCAAGGACTTCCCAGTCTCCAAAACTGAGAGAGATAAATTTCAATCCTTTATAAACTACCCAGTCTCAAGTATTTTGGTATAACAGCACAATCAGACTAAGACGCCACTCTACAAGATGTTCAAGATAAAGCTGTAACAATGGAAATTTCACATAAAGTTATTTTCATCCTCCACGTTTGACTTCTGCCCAGTATCTGGCTGCTTCCTGTGGCTTTCCAAAGCTTTAGATAATTGTTTTTCATATTTTCCAGAATTTATTATCTATGAAAGAATTAGAGCAGTAGTAGATACTCTGCTGTACCAGAACTGGAATATCTACCCTTCAATTTGAGTTAAAAGAGTAAAACTTTTCAACATTCTTGCTGTAACCTCTCCTGAAACATCCTACAGACTTTTCACATGTGATCATTTCACCCCTTTATAAGAACTACTCTCACTTTAAAAGCATTAAGTTTTTATTATAGTTAATGAAAAGGTTAGCTTCTTACAGCAATAAAAACTAGAATGATCTTCTCAACCAAGTAATGATGCCACCAGTATGCAACTTAAGCTTATAAATAAAAACGGAAGATAGTCTCTTCTATTAAAATATCATATACTTTCTAAAATTAAAATTTAAGACTTATAACCAAGCTACTAACTAAAGTAGGTTTTCATCTATCTGTATATTTGTAGAGAAAGAGGTCCACCACTTCCATTTCACCATTCCTAGGCAACGATAACAATATTTAGGCCTTGAAACTACTACGAATAGAAATGGTCCAGTAGTCATTTGAACATATCTGTATCCGTTACACACACACACACACACACACACACACACACACACAGCTATTTACTTACTTTGGGAAAATCATCCCATCTGAATAATAAACTTAGCTTGAAAAATAACATTTTGATTTTAAAATATAACATTTGTAACCAAACACTTTCATATGATTTTAAAAGAGGAGCATCGGATAAAGCAGTTGTTTTGAGAATAAATTGAAAACTACATACTTGGTTTTATAAACTAATACTATAAGCTGCATCATCAAGAAGGATTTGTTAAATCCTTTTTACAGTCTTACATATAGTAAAATATCACTACATATGATTAATCGATTTGGTTCCTTTTAGTAAAGATACAGAACTATGAAATGTATTCAAAGATAAGCAGTTTTAACTTTTTTAAGAACAGTTAAATAGACCTAAGCTAACAAAGAGCTGCCTAGAGGGAGTTCTCAGAAAGATACTAAAAAGAATGTCAATTGTGTTTAAAATGGTACCCACAGTGTACTTGAGGATGATTTGAAGCCATTTAATATCTTTCCCATATTTCACATACATCTTGGGTTTGCCTAGAAAAATCCTGCCTTTAGAGAATAAATCAAAAGTAAACTTTTTTCTGGCTCAGTATTAATGAAGTTCCATGGTGCTATGTATAATTTCCCACTAGTTTAATAGACATCATTTTCTTTGGAACTTTCTAAGAGAAAAACAGACTCCAGAGAAATTGACCACAGTACATTAACAATCAAAATTGTGATGTGCCAATGAACATAAGCACATTTAATATGCATCACTGGTCCCCATCCAGGAATGTGATTGGCTAATGATTACTTATATTGTTTTTCTATTCGGATGATTTTTGCATAGCTTTTAAAAAGGTGGTCTACATGATCATTTCTTACATGGAGAAAAAGTTATATTACAAAGAAAACAACAATATTAAAGTGAGACAAAATAATTCAGAAACCCGACTAACAAATCATTTGGCAATAATTTAAGTTTTATTACAGTGAAAGGATGGCCCAATTTATTCTTTTATGACCACCAGTGATTTTTAAAAATCTCTTTCAAAGTGCAGATCTCTTTAACGTACTTCAACTTTTGCCACAGCTATACTGTCTTCATTATTCTGAAATGACTTTGAATATTGCTTTTCCAAAGATTTAAATTATTTTTACACAGAAGACCAGTGAACCAGAATGCATGACTGGTTATTACTGTCATAATTTGAAAGACATCCGGAACAAGACTTAAGTGAAGTCATGGGATAGTTCTACTCGAAATTGAGTCATTAGTACTTTTAAAATTTAACTTACTATAGTTTCTTCATGAGAAGAATTTTCACTGCTCCATTTTTCTTATGTCATTTCATGCCTAAAGCTTACAGTTGAGTGTTACCATTAGTCAAGGTATGCATTTCTCTATACATCACACACAAAAATGATTATCATGTTTTCCATTATTCCAATATTTTATTCTGGTATTATATAATAAGCTAGGCCTCAACTATGACTCAAATTTTCTATATTTCAGGATATTTCTTTTCGATTTCTTTTAGTGCTAGTGTTCCACAAATGTTTCTCACTTTAGAAGTTCTTGTCTCTTTCTTCATTTTAGTCCTGGGTGATTTTATCTGTAGCCATGACATGACCCATACTGTACTTCTATGCTCCAAACTCTTGCATTCGAATGCTTCCAGAACATAACTATCTATATTTCTCATAAGCACAAAGCCACAAACATGTGAAGCAGAATTCATCACTTACCACCTCAGGCCTCTAGCATGCCTATCACTATGGATGACACCATCATTTTTTGTCACTCAACCCCACAATTTATCTATTCTAGCGTTTTCCCTCTCCTATCCCTACACACATTTTATACAACTGAAATCGATCCAACAGTCCCATAGGTAGTTTTCTAGATAAACACAGAAATTGGCCCTTCTGGTCTTAGAGCTCCAACCTTGTACTTATTTTATCTGAGTTCCTTCCTTAGGAACAAACCCCCAGGCCTCTCAAAAAAAAAGTTTGAGTTTCAGTCAAAGAACTGAAGTTTCAGTCAAAGAACCAAAACTCACCAGATCACCACGTTCAGACAATCAAGATGCTGGACCCCTCATTCCTCATAATTGCTTCTTTGTCCTTCCCTAGTTCGTGTTCTTACACATTGTTACATTTCTTCCCTGCTGTATAAACCCCTAGTTTGGGTGGATCAGGGAGATGGATTTGAGAATGAGCTCCCATCTCCTGCAGCATCCAATTAAATCCTTCTTCCTTGGCAATATTCATAGTCTCAGTCACTGGCTTTCTGTATAGAGAGAGCAGGATCTAGACCAAACTCCTGGTGTTTCGGTAACATAACCATGTCCTGCTGGTTCTTTTGTGTTAATTTTCATTACTATGTCTGTTTGACATCAGTTGCAGTTTACGCCATCTTCATTTTTTCCTGTGCCATTTTCAGCACCTCCACCCCAAGTCTGCAGGCTTCATTTTGCTAAATTAATTCAATACAACACCACCAAGGGAGACTTCCCAATGCAAAAATCTGATCATGTTAGTCCTGCCAAATCTGGATCATTTCCCCTTGGTCTCACTTCCTGCCTTCCTGCAACCATGTATCCTCGAAAAGACAGAACTGCTAACTCCAAGTGAGACCCATTCCTCTGTGCCTTGTTACTTGCTCTAGACTCCATTTCTCATCCCTTCCCCGGCACACATGTGTTTCCTAAGATTCAGTTTGGTATTCCTTCCTCATTGTCAAGGCAGAATTGAAACATTCCTTCCATGTTAAAATTCCTTCCTCCTCCCCCGACCCAGTAGGCCTAGTTAGCACCCTATGCTTACTGCTATTGTATGTATGGCATCACTTATCCATGGTATTGTAATTACTATTATTACTTATTATTATTATTATTATTATTATTATTATTATTATTATTATTTTGAGTCAAGGTCTGGCTCTATTGCCTAGGCTGGAGTGCAGTGGCAGGATCTCGGCTCACTGCAACCTCCACCTCCCAGGCTCAAGCCAACCTCCTACCTCAGCCTCTTGAGTAGATGGAAGTACAGGGGTGTGCACAGCTAACGTTTTTGTTGTGTTTTTTTAGAGACAGGGTTTTGCCATTTTGCCCAGGCTGGTCTCAAACTCGTGAGGTCAAGCAATCCACCTGCCTCAGTCTCCCAAAGTTCTGGGATCACAGGTGTAAGCCCAGTTGGTATTGTAATTCTTGAGTCACTTCTCCAATTCTCTGAATAAGCCAAAGATGCATGGAAGTCACAATACGTATTTTTATAAACCCATGACTTGACAGCACTTAGCACATGGTAGGGCCTTAATTTGAAGTCCAGTAATTTATTTATGAATGATTGAAATTTTGTTTCACATATTATTGTGAAATATGTGAAATTTCACATCTTCCTTTTTAAATCTTAATTACAAACTGTTAGTGACTTTATTCTAGTATTCATATTAATGGCCTTAGAAGTCTACCTTACTTTTCACTCTTCTGTTACTTCTGTTATTTTTAAGGCTCTCATCTCC